GGGGGGGGGGGGGGGGAGCGGCACGAAAGGCACCGTCTCTCAATAGGGAACCCCCCTGCCCCGTCCCCCCCGCGGAGGCACTCGGCCAGGCCCACGGTACGTCTTCCCGTAGGAAGAGGTGGCCTGGGATGGGGCACCCCAACTGTGACCCGTTCCTGCCCCGCTGGAACCGGCCATCCCCGCTCCCAGCTCGCCGTAATTTGGGATTTTGGCCTCGGGATGGACCAGAGAGTTGTTGTTGTTGGTGGTGGTGGTGGTGGAGGTGGAGGTGGTGCTGCTGCTGCTCCCCTCGGCTTTGGGAAAAGCTTGCCCCACCGAGTGGATGGCGACGGGGACTCTGGCGAAACGCAGGTCCTGGTCCCCTGGAAACTGGAGAGATCCCGTGCCCTGGTAATTGCTGCTCTCCCCGAGGTGGCTCACGGAGCCCAAGAAGGTCCTGCTTTTCCCCAGAGGTTGGGCAGAGGGTTCTTCTAGTAGCGTCTGGCCCGAATTCAGCTCTTCGGCACCAAATCCCCCCTCCGAGCCTTCGGCGCTGTAAGTCCTGGAGGAGTGGGACCTGCCGTAGTCCCTGGCTCTGGAGGGTTGGTGGTGGTCGTGCGTGGCGTGGCCCAGAGATTCCCCTTCTTGTTGGGAAAAGAGCTGGAGCAGGGCAGCCGTGACGGCCGGGTTCAACTCCGGGGCTGCGCTGGAGAGATCCCCTTCGGGCAGAGGCAGCGGCGGCGGAGGAGGAGGCCCGGGGGGCTCGGGGGGTCTCTTCTCTGGTGGGAGAATGCGAGGAGGACACGCTGTGGAAGGGTTACTTCTTTTAAACACCAGCTTAAGAACATCAGGTGAACAGAACATCAATACATTTCTATCTAAAAATCACCCCAAACAGCCTGCCGAGAGAGGCCGGTCTCTAGGATGGGCTGGAAAAAGAGGCGGAGAGTTTTAAAAGGAGTTTTAAAAGGGATTTTAAAAGGAGTTTGTTCCAAGCCCAAAACACACACGTTCATTAACGTTCTCCCCATAATCACCCCCCAGCCCCCAACCGGTCAGCAACAGGTTTTCCCTAACCCATGGGGGGAATTCCTGCTCCTGGATCCAAGGAGGGAGGGAGAATCCTCCCCGAGAGGGAGATGTGGGGTCACACGATGGCACGTGTTCCCCAAAAGTGGGGTCTCCCACACCCCACTGCACTGGGACCAGGTGAGTGCCCATTGATGGAATCACCTGGGGAATAACACAAACCCCAAACCCAACCCCAGACCCTGCCTGCCTCCACAACAGACCGAGGGGAGCGGGTTCACCCTCTCGTGTCCCCTCTTCGGGCTGTAAAAAGGAAATAAATCAGAACAAATCTCAACCCACAAATATCTGCATCCAACGTACAGACTTCCCTGCAGCTCCAGGAAAACGATTCTGCCACCCCCCAAATCACACCTGAAGTGACAAAGATTTATTTCCAAAGGACCCCTCTAGGCAAGGACTAAAAAAAATAATAAAGAAATCACCCTTCACAGCCCCTCCCCACCCCCTCACCCCTTCGTGTCACTGCTTTTGGGGCAGGAGGAAGGACAAAGCCCGGGTGGGAGGTGGGAGAGGGTGAGAAGTGACACCCACCACGGGGACAAGAAAGGGACACGGGGGGACCCGACCTGCTCCTCTCACCAAACCCATCCTGAGCAACACAACTGCCTCCCTCTCGCCCGGCCCCAAAAGGAGGGCAATTAAAAGTTATTACTGGGGATGACGTAAGAGGCCACGAACGCCTGGTTTCAAGCAGATCCTCAAATCATTTGCAAAACTGGTTATTAAAAAGGTCAAACTTTATTGTGAGAACCAGTAGTCTTCCAGGACCACCCCCCTCCACCCGTATCAGTCAGTCCCGCTTTAAAACTAGATTGTATTGAAATCCGAGAAAACAATCTTCAGGTAAATTTTTAAAACCAAGCTGATTTGGGGGACAGCATATCATTTAAAATATATATATAATTATAAACAAGAGAACAAATGGTATTTTAATTGAATCTGCTCTACAATAACCTAGTTATCTTCCAGTACTAGGGCAAAAAAAAAAAAGAAAAATAAAGGAGAAAAAAAAAAGAAAAAAAAAAAAAGCACGATCACAACTGGCTTGTGGTGGGCGGGTGTGTTGAAGGCACGAGAACACAGCACGTTCAGCTACATTGCAGAGGAGTTGTGTATCGGGCCAAAAGAGGCTCCCCGGAGAGTCTGAGACATACTCAGGAGGCGCTTCTACAATTTGGTGAGGTCGTCACAGGCTGTGGCTAATAATTCGAAAAAAGATCAACAGAAACAAAACAAAAACGACAACGAAAATAAAAAAAAAAAAAAAAAAGACATGGAGACACATTTACACTCACCTCCGACAAGGGGAAAATCCAAGAGTTCACTGATACAATCAGCTCTTTTAAACACAACGCGCCTCTTTACTCGCTCTACCAGAACCAGCCCTTTGGCTCGACTGCAGAAGTTGCTGAATTTCAGGACACTCAGAAAAGTCAACTTTGGGTATAAATTGGGCAGAGCCAAGCCGGGCACACGAGCTCCTCACACACACGTGTGCCACCATCCCTCCCCTCCAGCACTCTCCAGCATTTCAGCTCTCCTGTTCTTTAGAAATCAACTCTGCATATCTTGGTTTTTGGAGTTGTTTGGGTTTTTTTTTGAGAGGGCTGGAGGGAATGGTGAAAAAGAGAGTTGGGACAAACAATAAGGTGGGGAAAACTGCAGAGATCCGGTGTCCTGGGCAAAAAGACTGTTTGAAGGTGTAAGCTGATTACTGGGGGTACTATAGGAAGGAAGAACTGCCCCTCCAAGGTTCCTTTTCATTTTTGAGTGGAAAAGAACCCCAAACCCTTTAATCTTCACTGACCTGGGGAGCGCTAATGGATTTTATACGCTTTGGAGATGTGAAGCAGAGTGGTGTTTTTGTGGTTTGGCTTTTTTTTTGCAGGTGTTAGAGCCTCCTGAGCAGTCCAGCACTTACCACAGGGAGCAGGGGGCAGTGTCTTTCTCAGTCTTGAGACCCGAGACCCGAACACATTCCAGGCCCTTTCCTCCTCCTCCTCCCACCCACACCCCCCTGTCACCACGTCAGACGTCGCAGTTCCTCCTGGCCACAGTTACACTAGAGGCACTCATAGGGAATACTTTTAATTTTTTCAAACAAGTGCACATGGGCATCCGAGATGGCACAAGTGACGACTATTTACCTGCGCTTTCTTCTGGATGCGCGGTGGGGGTTTTCCTGGGCCCCTGCTGCTCACTGCTCTTCTCCCCGTTGCTCTCCTCCAGGGTTATCACCGGCTCCTGGCTCTTCATCAGCTGAGTCAGCAGAACTGCCAGCACGTTCTGCACATCTCCCTGAGCACTGGCTGCTTCTGGAGTCGCCGCCGGTTCCTCCGGGAGCTGGGCCTCCACCGGTGGCTCTTCCACGGGTTCCTCGGCCGCCGCCGCCGCCGCCTGAGACTCCTGCTGTTGAGTGGTGGCTTCTGTCAGAGCGTTGATGGACTGGTTGAGGGCCTCCAGCTGCTGCTGCATCTCCGGGTTGGAGTGGACGTTCAACAGCTGGGCCATCTGGGGGACGCTCAGGTCGGTCTGGCTCTGCAGCAAGTTCAGTAAAACCGCTAATTCGCTCTGGTTCAGCTGCTGGGTGATGTCTCCCAGGCCTGTAGGAAACACAAGCAGCATCCCAGGAAGGTCAGGAAAGGCTACACGATAGCAGGTTGTAATCCTGACACTGCACATACCAACAAACACCTCCTCCTCTCTGTCTCCGGGACAGGGGAACGCACCGAGGCTCCAGGAGGAGGATCTGGGGATAGTTTGCTCAGATTTCCACCATCCACTTGCCCCTTCCCAGGCTGTGACCAGCTCTGAGCAGTGCTGCAGCAGCACCCCGTGGTCCCACACACACACTGCACTCACCCAGGAACTCCAGCAGCCACAGAGGGAACCACCTTCACTGCCCCCTCAGACCTACCAACACAACCCCTCCTCAAAATCAGCCCATTTGAGCCAAACCTCCCCATTCCCCAGTTTAACCAAGCCAGGGCATTCCCAAGCATCAGACTGGTGAGGAAGGAGACCACCAGTTATGCCAGTCTGGGGATGCTTGATGAAGACTGGAAACCCTTAGCCCACCCCAGTGGGACTGGGAGCAGCAGGGGATAAAGGTGGTCCCTCCTGTGCTGGAAAAACCTGGCAGGTTTCCTGGGATGGAGCTAAGCTGCTGCTGGGGACAGAGGGAGGGTGTGTTCCACTGACACAGCAGAAGGAATTAGGTCGAGCAGAAGGTAATTCCTTGCCAAAAGCCTGCCTGGGATCAGAGAGGACTCTGCCCTGACCTGCAAGTATCCAGGTTGGTCTGAACCACAGCCCTTGAGCAGCATCACCTCCCTCTGCACCGCGCTGGAGAGCAGCCTCTGAGTGACAAGTGACAAGGGTGCCCCTTCACACCGACACCGACTTCCTAACTCAGAACTTTTTGGGAAGAAGGGTGCAAAGGTTTGGTTTTAGAAGCTTAAAATTAGGCTCCTCTCACTGTTTGGCAACTGAGAACGTGACACTCTCCTCAGCTGTTTGTTAATCCAACCACACCACCTTTGGTCCATCTGCCATGTTTCATGGAACACATGGATCCTGCATTCCCTGGAGCAAGAACTGTCTTCCTTGTTACTCGTCAGTACAGGGTTTGACACAAAGGAAGCTTTAAGCCCATATTTGAGTTTTTATGAGGTTTCTAGAGAACAGTCAGCATGGTCTGGGCAGTTTTGTACATCTCTACATGCCCAGGAATCAAAATACCAACTATTTTCTAGAGACCAGAAGGTTGGGCACAGCTTTGGGAACAGCACACGAGTCCTGGTCCTGCAAATCTTTATGACCAAGTGATCTTTTCTGCAACAAAGTGCAATAATGAACACTTCTGTCCATGAGTGTGTTACATCCTATGCCTAATCTTTAGACAATTTGATCAACAAGATCAAACTTCAGCTCATTCACACACCCTTTAATGGCTGCACCTTCCAAACCTTTTATCTGTTACTTCACTGGCTGAAGTGACTCAGCAGCTCCTTTTGTCATTTTCTGTGAAAGGATGTTTCAGAACCAATCATACAACTCATACAACAAATTAATTGTCAGCTCATGAGTGAGTGACTTCTGAAGACCAGCCAAACCAATAGTTTTCACAGTAGAGAGAAAAAAATAAAGGAAAAAAAGAATCAGGGTAGGAAGATTGTGGAATTTCTGTAGAAATAAAGGTGAAAGAATCAGATTGGCCTGAAAATGGACGTAACCCCCCACACCCAGACCAGGGAGGTCACGCATCAGGAGGAACCTTTTACAGACCAGACCGAGCACTGACCTACTGTGTCTCCAGCCCCACTCTCTGGTTTGAGCTGGGCCGGCTGTGGGGGCACAGGACTGCTGTTGTTTTTGACAGTGTCTGTGCTTGTAACAGAGGTAGTTTCTTTCCGAGAAACTTTTGATAAGGGTGGCTCCTCCACTGCGATCCCGCTCTGCCGCTGCCGCCGGCGTTTCTTGCTCCACAGCTCGTGGCAATCCTGCCAGTGGGGAAGGCTGGAAGAGAACAACACTCCGCAGTTAAAACACGTGGTGAGAAAACCCATTGAATCCTCAAAGAGCACAGAAAGTTAATGGTGCCATAACAGAACCACTGATATTCCTCTGGGTGCAACCATACTGTTAATTCAAGAAGGGGCATGTCCTAGAACCAGGAGAGGCAGCAGAACTGCACGTGGATCATTTAATTTGCACTGGGATTTCACCCCTGATGGACTGGGGTTACCTATAATGCACTCAAGCCCCAATGAACACAAATCCACCAGGCTTGAGAGTCCAGTGGCTGTAAGAAAGCACCTGCCTTTAACTCTGAAGGAAATAGGAATCTCAAAAGCTGCCACCACACTTACACACAAAGAGGCTACAGCAGAGTTTTATAATCTGCTTGGCTGGAGCAGGAGAAAAGAGCTGCAGACAGCACAGCACTGCTCACCAACCACTCTGCTAATCAATTAATAAGGAGCATTAACGAGGCCTGGCCAGTCCTCTGTGGCACAGAGGACAGGGACCTGCTACAGGCTACCCTTGCCTATCTTCCAGCAGACTTTACAGCACCTTACAAGCATTAAACTGAGCTTTATAAAGCCAGGAGAAAACCAACAGCACAGGAAGAGCTGTTTGCTCAGCCACACGACAAAATGCACGGGCAGAACTGAGAAAAAAAAACCCAAACCAAACAAACCACAACCCAGAAATAATAATTCTGAGTGAAGAAAACTGAAAGCCAAGCCTGCAGCTCCTTCCCCAAGCTCATCAGCAAGGATGCCAGCTGGAACTTACTCTGGAGGTGCCATTTTGCTGAGGTCCACATCCTTGAGGAAGTCACTCTGCAGGGCCTGCTCCGCTGTGCAGCGCTTGCCGGGGTCCAGGGTCAGCATGTGGTCCAGCAGGTCCAGGGCAGAGGAGGGGATGCTGCACAGAGAGCCAGGGACACAGCCCAGTTAAGGGGTTGTTGGCAACAGGGGGAGAAGCCTATTTTCAGCCAGACACCCCAGGTTTAAGAAATCCCCGCGGTCAAAATTTATTACTACGTGATGCTGCAGCTCAAAAGACATCAACAGGAGATCAGATGTGTGATATTTTCAGGCTAATTTTTGATATTTATGAAAAGCAACTCTGCTACACGTCTCACAAGAGTCTCACACTGTTAAAAAGCACGTCTCTGCCATCAGACAGCCTCAGCACCATGAGAACCCCACAGCCAGGGGTGCTTTCCAGGCGCAGAGCCCAGGGAGAAGTGTCTGGAAGGCACCTGTAGCAGATCAGGTCTTTAGAAAGGGGACAGTGGCCTCATTCCAGCCACTTCCAGATGGGAGAAGCCCTCCTGGAGAGGACAGGAGGGGCAGAGGCAAGAAGAGGAAGGGCTGCTTTACGCTGACGGGTAGACTAGAGCCAAAGGCAAGCAGACAGAAGGCAACAGAGGGCCATAAACCCCACGCAGCCACTTATCCTCTCTTCTAAAACTCACAAGGAGAACTCCTCACGCAGACGCCTTCGGTATTGCTTCTTGGGCTTCATAGTGTTGAAATAGGGCAACTTGATGACGTCCGGCCACACCGCTGGGCAGGGGCTCCCACAGAGCCGGCTGCGGGCCAGAAAAGCAGAGGAGGATCAGGAGGGGAAACACAGCCAGGAGGAGGAGATGAGCCACCAACCCCAGTGAAAACGTTTCCTTTCTAAGCAACTTAGTGCACCGATAATTAACTCTGGGCCTAATTATTGGGTCTTCACTTCAGTGAAGACTAGAGAGCCCTCAGGTTAAAAAGGAGATCTGAGGAAGAGGAAAAATATTCACTTTGAGTTTATAAAGCATCCAACACAACAAATTTTCAGTGTGAGGTGTAATTTAGGTGCATGATTTTTTGCACTTAACTAACTTTAAAGTTTACTGAGGGTGCATACATTGGCAGCCACAGACACGGAGATGCCTGACTATTCATATCTGTAGTCACAATCATTTGCTCATCTTATTTTGCAGGCAGATTAGAGAAAGGGGGTTCTAACACAGCGACTGTGTGCGGGAGCAGTTTCTGCAGCACCTCTTCTCATAGGCATGCATGTGCAATGCTTTACCTGATTAATTCAAGCTGAGCCAGTTCCAGATTGGCTTGAAAAATAGGCTTCTTTGTAAACAGTTCCCCGAGGATACAGCTGGAAAGAGGAAAAGCAAGAGGTCATGGCAGCAAACCCTTGGGATGACGGTTTGAACAGTGCAGCGTTTCTGTTCGGAAGCAGGTTTGCCTGAGGAGAGTTATTTGCATCAGGGCTTGTAGTTGAGAACTGACAAACTAACCTACGTGTACAGAGTCACCCATCCCGTGCAGCTGGGAAATGCAGGCACTGGGAGGCTGGGCAACATGTCACGGGCTTTAACTCTTTGTGGGGAAAGGAGGATGTGTCAATAGCACGACAAGAAAACACAGCCAGGCATCTCATTTCCCTCCACATTCAGCCCATTTAGCTTTTCAGCCTCCCTGAGGGATCTCTGCTGCTCCAAATTCCCCTCAGCTGCCAGCACCTCACTGCCTGTCGTCACCAAGCACAGGATGGAGCCTTGCACACTCGTTTGTGTGCACACACAACATTTGTACAGCTGGAAGGCTCATTTGTGCACACACAACATTTGTACAGCTGGAAGGGAAAGAAAAGGAGGGAGGGGACAACTCTGACTCAATTCAGGCCTTAACATCTACCCTTAAACCTTCTGACAGGAAGGACAGTCAGTGCCAGATGGAGCTGTGGGCTGATACTGGCCACTGAACCCCACTCATGGCACAGGGCAGTAACTGGACCTTGCAGCCAGAGTTTCCAGACATAATTAGCAGGGCCTGATTTTAACAAACCTTCGCTGTTTGTCTACTCAGCTCTGCTGAACCTCTTACCTGCGAGAATCACAATGGGAAGGGACAGGATTTGGGAAATCCAGCCCCACTTCTTAATGCTCAATCCTCCAGTCCCTGCTTCTGAATCACTTGGAAAAACGTTTCATCTTTGTGGCTGAACTGCCCAGACTCCTCCTGTTCACAAGGCTCCCTACACTATCAGAAGCCTGAAATCTCTGCTTTAAAATGTCTCCTAGATTTAGCTGAAAAAATAAGGTGACAAACAGAGCAGTGTGAAGAGGTTACAGAAAACCTCTCTGTTGGGTCTTTAAAACCATCCACTGAAGCCATGACCAGCAGAGTGAGCTCATCACCCCTTCTGATCTCAGTGGCACATCATTAAAAACCAAACTAACCAACCTTTGATAAATAGTGAGGAGACCTTTTTTTTTTTCCCCTCACATGTCAAACCCAAGAAAAGTCTCCAACCAACCTTTGATAAATAGTGAGAAGAGAGACCTATTTTTTTTTTTCCCCTCACATGTCAAACCCAAGAAAAGTCTCATTCTGGGAATTTTCACTAAATGCTACAGCTTTAGTTCAGTGATACAAGCCCATTTTCTCACAACACAGGATTTTGGAATTATTCCTACACTATCAGTAGCTGGAAAAGAGATAAGAGTTTCAGAAATCAGCAGAAGGGACACAAAGCAGACCCTTACCCACAGCTCCAGACGTCGATGGCCGGCGTGTAGCGCTCCTCACCTAGCAGCAATTCTGGAGGTCGATACCATAATGTAATGACTTTATTTGTGTACGGACGGCTGGAAGGTAAGACACAAATAAATTAACAACAAGAGCCACAAAACCCTTACAAACTGTATTTATTACTCAAGGCAGTAGGTTGTAGGCACCCAAGAGAGAAAAATCTGGCCTGCAACAGGCTGCCTTGACTGAGTGATCTCACAGCAAAGTGTGGCCCATGGCAAGCAGAGAGGATGGTTTGGTTCCTTATCAGCTGGTTTGTCTAATGAAAGACTATTAATACCAGCCAGGAGTGTAGTTTTCCAACAGCTGAGCTGTGTTATACCACTTACACTGGGAATAATTTCTCAGGCAATGCCAGGATTTCCAAGCGAAGGGACTGGGTGGATGTTAAGAAGAAAGGAGCTCATCCCACCCACACAAACCATCTCCCCTTCCTCCACCCCCTGGTGCCTCACCTCTCCTCCGAGCTGTAGAGTCGGGCGAGTCCAAAATCTGCAAGTTTGATTTGCCCACTGAAAGACAAAACACAGCCAAGCTCACAAGCTGCAAGCAGTTAAAGGTAAGAAAATCCCATGTAATAGAAAGGCCTAATAAAGCAACATTTGCAGTAATTACTTTTGGGTATGCTGGTTTTAATTTTTCAAATCCTATTTAATGCTTCAAACAAACACAGGAAAACACACCCCAAAACCCCAGTAGTACAGTCTCATCTATCACAACCCCTTCCCAATAGACCTACGTCCCAGAGAAACTTTTAAAAAGATATTCAGACACAGGGGTGCAATTACACATAGTGTTATTCTCACAGTCCCAAATTTCTCTTATGGGTATCCAGATAAAGACTTGAGGATTCCCAGCAAATGAATAATTGTTCTGTGATGAACCCCCTCTCTCTCCCAAACATTGCCGTCCAGAGAAGAGAGCGCATTCATGGAGAACCACTACTTCCCACCTTAATTCTCAACAGTTTCCCTGCACACAAGCACTTCCAATAAACAGTATTTTTGCCAAAATACCATGGAGACCAAGTGTACACAGAGACCCGTTTACTTCAAGTCAAGGCAAAAGAAAGTTGACTGTAAAGGAGGTACAAAACCACAAGCAAAAGGCCTCAGGTGGGGCGATTGCTCCCAACAACATGTCCAGGAGAGGGCCATCAGTTACCTGTTGTTCAATAAGATGTTGGAGCACTTAATATCTCGATGAAGGAAATTCTTTTTGTGACAATAATCCAGACCCTCCATTAACTGTTTCATGAAAGACTTGATATGGTCCTCTGAGAAATGTACCAAGCCGGATTCTAGCAGCCCCATTAGGTCATGGTCCATGTACTCAAACACAAGGTAAAAGGCACCTGGTGTTAAAAAAAAAAGAGAGAAGTGATTTAAGACAAAGAGGATAGACCAAGGAAAAGAAAGAATCAAAGCAGATTCAATAGTTGAAACATTTTTTGTGCAGTGTTGAGTGTTCTGTTGGTGTTTTCTTTAACGCAGCCTTGTGATATCTAAGGCTCAGGGGGAATCCTAAAAGAAGTCAGAACCAAAAAACTAAGTAGGTGCTCTAATACATCAAGCCGAACATCCGAAATTAAAATATGCCCCCAAAATAAATTCCTTTGAAATGCTGATCATCCATTTTGCTTCTTCTTTCAAGCTAGTTTAAGAGACTACTGCTATGCATGGCTTAAACTGGTGTTTGCTTTGTCTCTCATGGAAGAGAAGCCCTCAAACAAGATCTTTTGGGATGCTGTAACACCCTCCACAGTGGCAGAGGACAAAGTCTTCCCACCAGTGAGTCTGTGGCCACTAATCAGTGTCAAAAGTGACCCAGTAAAGGGTTTTTTGGTTGATTTTTTAAGACTGCTCTTTTGTGACTCCCCAGGAATGCAATGCATCCCTTTAAGGCTGTCTCTACCTCTGCTCTGCAGTGCGACAGCTCATTGTCACTGGAACCTCTCCTTTGAGGCGAGGCCAAACCCAGATGCCAAACTTGCTGGAACCAGGTATCAAGGAAAAACGCAGAAAAGAAAATCTACACCAAAATTTAGATTTTTAGCTTTACACTAGGAATAAACAACCGGAGTTGCATCACCTCCTTGGCTAATTTGAGCCCACACCCTGCAGCAAGCTCTACCTTTGTCCTTCTTGAAATCCAGTGCATCTTGTTTGTCTGTGACAATTTCCTTCATGTTAACAACACTGCGGTGAATCAGCTGCCGAAGAATTTTGATCTCGCGGATGGCGGTGATGGGGAACCCCTCCTTCTCGTTGTCCAGTCGCACCTTCTTGAGAGCCACCAGTTCACCTGCCAGAACAAGCCAGTGTCAACCTCCCCATCACCACCACTGCTAACAGCTGGGTGGGCTTCCAGGGGGACACTGAAAGTAGTCAACATCCACTGAGAAAGAGCATATCACCCTAATTTTTGTGGCATTGCTCTGTCAGAGTTATCACACCAAGAACACTTGTAGCAATAGGATGAGGGGGAATGGTTTTACACTGAAAGGGGGGAGATTGAGATGAGATCTGGGGAAGAAATTCTTTGGTGTGAGGGTGGTGAGAGCCTGGCCCAGGTTGCCCAGAGAAGCTGTGGCTGCCTCATCCCTGGAGGGGTTCAAGGGCAGGTTGGAGCAACCTGGTCTGGTGGGAGGTGACCCTGCCCAGGGCAGGGGGTGGCACTGGGGGGACTTTAAGGTCCCTTCCTACCCAAACCAGTCTATGATGCTAACCCAAGACAGATGACCCCAGTGCTCCTCCCAATCTGCTTCAGAGGGAAGTCAAAGAGGTGAACATAAATTTACCCTGGAGCCCCCTGCAGCTCCTTTCACAATCTTCACTACAATAAGGTTGGACAAAAGCACGTTTAAAAAGCAGGGCCTGAGTTGGCATCTATGGCTGCCCCAGCTATACCTGCCATGGCCATCTCACCCTGTGTCACACCATACACACAGGACACACTACTTCAGGAGCAGAGAGGGCAGCTGGGCACTAACTCACACTTCCCAGGATTTCACAGCTTCCCTCCTTTTGCCCCTTTTGAAAACACCCGATCGACGCATTTATTCCAGGGCTGGAGCCATTTCTAGTTCTACAGGTATTTGTCATTAACTGGCCTCACTGCTAAGGCTGGAACGGGTTTTTACGCACACCCACGGCACCGAGGCCGGGAAGAAGTGGAGTCAATGGGAGGGCACTGGGCACCTACCTGTGTCCTTGTCCTTGGCTTTGTACACCTGCCCGTACGTCCCTTCTCCGATAATCCCAATGATGTCAAACTTGTCTACGCAGCGCTTCCCCCAGTCGCTCTCCGTCTGTCTCCTTTCCCCGTACCGAGGGCAACAGATTCTGGGAGAGGGAAGAGAACTGTCAGACCCCACAGTGCCCCCCACAAACACCCAGGCAACTCTTAAGCTGTACCCTAAAACCAAAAAGCAAAGGGCAGGCACCCTGTCTTTATGCTCCTACAACCGTTCGGCAGAGTTTAATGAATTATGCTTTATAATCCCAACTACTCCAGATATGAGCACTGCTATCCAGGAATATTATCCCTTTATTTCATTCAGACACAAAACCACCCAAACACTCTCACTATCCCATCTTCCCACTTCAGTTATGCATTTATCAGCTGCATTCAGCTAATGAGCCTAACAAGCAACACGCTCTTCCTCCTGAGGAAATAAGGAGTTCGAAGAGTAAGGAAAACAAGGAAAAATGGATATTATACCACCTCAATTCTACAGATTTTGAGGCGGCAGAACCTTTTTACCACATTCTGCCCAGAGCACACACTTAGATAACCAGATTTCTACAAAGATCTCCTTACAGACTTTTAACTCAGAGAATCCTGAAGGGGAACCAAATCAGTATCTCAAAAATACCAAAGAGTTATGCCACAATAGGATAAAAATCCATGTTTGGAATCTTTTGCAGAAACACTGGACTTTTGATATATTTTTTTATTTAAAAGAAAGTGCAGCGAGCACCTTGTGTATAAAATGCCAAGGGAATCTGCTTCCTTGCATAAATGTTGTTATCAGGGGAAGCTGTATGGACCACACAACACGACTGATACTTCAGTTGTGCATGAAGAAAAGGTATTTGTCTCCTACTGGGAATAACCAATTCCTAGAAGCAGCACAGGCTTTCTCTAGGGACACTCCTCAGGAGGTTTCCTGGGACCACAGGCTCAAGCAAAATGATGATATGAGCTCTGGGGGCAGATGTGGCTGGAGACAGAACTCCAGCAATTCTCAACTAGATGGGGCAAGTGGCCTTCAGCTGTGGGTGGCCCAAATACAAAACAGCCCACAGGAGACAGTTAATATACCATAAGGAAAAAAAAAATCCCAGAAATATGAACTTTTTTCCTCCACATTTCACTTTCCTCAATAAAGCCAGCACTCAAATGAGTCTGGGGACAATAGAATATATAAAAGTGAAGAAAATCTGGCTAAAGATGTCTAAGTAAGTGCACGTTAAGTGTTCTCCCCATCCAATAAACGGTTGGGAGGCCGCTGAGAGCTGGCAAAGCAGCTGCCAAGCTTCAATTCCAAAAATGACTGTGCTTTTAAGAGCACTGTTTCTGCACAGGGCACAGAGTCAGCTCTTCCAGCAGCGCTGCAGCGCACACCGAGCTTTGGAAACCCACAGCAGCTGTGTGAAGAAACAAAACCCAACAACTCAGAAAAAGCCAAAAAAACCACCAAGAAAGTCAGCCTTACTTTGGTCTCTTTTTGAAGGGTTGCTGAGGTGGTGTGGCTGCCTTTGGTTCCGGGGAGTCAGGAGGAGATGGGTCCCCCCCAGGGAGCTCTGGAGGGAGCGGGAGGTCCGTGAGTAAGTGTCGTGGTCTCTGCTCTCGGTCTTTCTTCACAGGTTTTGGAGGAAGAATCTCTTTTGGACTAAACTCCGAAAAGTTAATACAATACAGAAGTCAGACTTAACAGCCAATTCACAAACAAACAAACAAAAAAGCCTACTGCAGGCCAACAGCTCTATTTGAGAATATAAAGTTAGGAGCCCAAGTTTAAGTCCCAAAATTAGCGTAGCCAAGTATAAAACAAAACAGCATTAAGTTTTACAGTGATAATACATCAGGAGAGAAAAGTGTTAGGTTTGAACACACTGTCTTCAAATAAAACACACCGCTCTCTGCAACTAGGACTTGCTCAATTTGCACAGATAAGTACTAATTGTGAGTTTCCTGTAAGACAGGGCAGGTTATCAGCCAGCACCCACTTTCCGACCCTCACTTCCTCTATTTAGTCCATTTATCATCATGAAATTAAATGCATGACTTGTTAAGGACCACTATAAATACTAACCCAGAATGAAATCTCTGTACAGAAGTAACTTTTCACTTCTTAGCAAGGACTGATATGTAGCTCTAACTTATGAAAATTGCTGAGAAACCAAAAGCTACTTCTTTCTTTTAAAATAATCAAATTGCCAATGGCACCAGCTTGGTTTAGACTGGCAAGAGTCTCCTAAGCAGAGCCTAATTTCTTTCTCATGTATCAGCAGGGAGAATTCCTAGGTCTGGATAGTCAGGAATTCTTCTCCACGCAAATCTCTGCTTCACCAGGAAAAGATGAAGAGATGCAAACGACCTTCCAAGGTTGGTTTTTAGGGCAGCCAGCAGGAGGTTTGCTGTTTGTCAGCATCACCAGGTCTAAGGCTTCAGCACAGAGAACTCCACAGAAATGAAGTGATGGAAGTAGGTCATTTTCCCAATTTTTTTTTTTGATTAGGCACTGCCTAATCTGCACGAAAATCTCTTGTGAAATGTAGTTAAGAAAAAAAAAGACAAAGAGGACACTATTCTGACTCTGAGACCTTCTGTAAGAGATGGGGGAGCATCTTCTCCCACTGCTAGGAAGTCACCAGGCAGCTGCAGAACTAATCCCACCTCACACCAGCCCAGAGCTTCAAGGAGAACATTCTCTGATGGGCACCACCACCAGTGGTACCCACCCTGGGAACACCAGAACTGGGAGAGCTGTACGGGCTGAAGCTCAGCCCCCATCAACTGCAGACTCTGTGGGTGCAGAGTGACACCCAGTCAGGTCACTTCATCAAGGCAGGATCCACACTGAACCTCTGAAGAGGTTCTTCAGAGCAGGATCTGGACAGTCAGGGCCTGGAACTGCCCACAGGAGGGAAGATACTTCCTTCCAACAGAGCAGATCAACCAGGTTTGGCTTTATTTAAGGCTACTGGAAGCACTGATCTAATGTCACCCAGTTCCTCCAGGTTGAAAAAGCACAGGTTTTTTATTTGACTTTGTGTTGGGCATTTCACCAGGCGTTTCCCTTCAAGTGAGAAAGACAAACAGACCCTCTGGAGCCACCCAAGCTGAAAAATGACCAAGTGTAAACACCAACTGCCCAACAAAGACTGCTCAAAGCTCCCTCCCTTCTTCCCCTCTCCTAAAATAGCAGGAATGCGATCGGTCAGGTCTGCTTTTTTAACTCTCAGTGCTGTGAACAGGCAACCAGACGTCCCCAGGATCCTATGGAAGCTACATAACTCCTGAGGGCAACATCAAACATGGACAAAGTTGGTACCACTTCTTCCTAAAGAGTTCTTCCCCTCCTCCTGCTCTATCTCCTGTGAGGTGAAGGGACCCGTGGTGCCACCTTGACAGATAAGCCTTGAGAGCTCAGAAAGCATCAAGAAAGGTTGAAGAGTCTCTACCCGAATTCTCCCAGCCTCAGCACATGAAAATAGAAGTCTAAGAAAAGTCCTGTCCATAAATACGAAGGCTGTTGCTGAGAAGTGAGCTCCTGCACACTGTGCCACCAGACTCAGCAAAACAAAGTGGGATTTCCCATCCTTTTATTGGGAAAAAGTCACTGTAAATCCAGTTACGAAACTAAGCCACCAGCTCTTTTATCACCCTCCTAAATTCACAGTGACAGCAGAGATAAAAGACACTTTTACAAAGCAAAGCCACACCTGGGTGAGAAGAAAGAAGAGCTCTAGGTGCGAGTGGCTGAAAAATAAAATACATTATTCACAGCACAACTTCTGTGTTTGGAAATGAGGGAAGGCAGCAGCAGGATATAGCTGAGACTGGGATTTGAGTTGGGGAAAATCTGCAATCTGTTAAAAGCTCATCACAGACTTGTTTAAACTAACTAGATATTCACTGAACAGCATTACCCAGCTCAGGAAGGGCAACACGAACACGCACAAGTCTAACTTTTATGTCGCTCACAGCGACAGCATTACCCTGATTTACATCGATAGCGGGACAAACCATGAAAATCAATGAAATTAATCACAATATGTAACATACTGTGTTCTCTTCAACCCCGGGGTAATTATATCAAGTCATAACTATCATGTAACACACTATTCATTAAAAACCTCGCTTTACTAACCAAGGGGATACCTAGTGCAGCTTTAGCGATGGCTGGGAAGATACAGCAGTTGCTTGGGAACTACAGGGTTTGCAGATCAAGTAAAAAAAAAAAATCTATATATCTGTGATGACCTTACATTAACAGCACCACAACTAACAGCTACAAAAGGAAAATAAAATAAAAAGCTGGTTTTTCTTCTTCTTCATCTTGGATATTCTGTTCCATTCCCCTCTTTCCCTCCCAACTAAAAAAAACCCTAAAAAACCTAAATTTTCAGAAGAGCATCACCAGCCCAGAGCCACAGTTACAGGACAGAACCAAGTCTGCACGTTTTGATTAAAAACTAAAGGGAACAGAAAGCTGAAGTAGGTGCAGTTTCACTCCTCCATTTTTAAACTCTTTTGCAACAAACAACACCTACCGCTTCAGCAAGAAGGACTGTATTAATTATTCAATAGTTAAGACAATACCTAAGTTAAACCAATGCCATTTTTTACACGAGGGCACATTCAATGAATTCGGAACAAAAATAGCTCTGGTTTCTGTCCTTGCACTGGAATTGTTAAGCTCTTTCCTGGTACTTAAGTACAAGGTTTTGGAGGAATTAAACAAAAAAGCAATTTCAAAATAAGCCTGTGCAACTGGCTGCAACGCCAACGGGTGCATTAATTCCAGATCCATGTTTCATTACTGTAATAAATATCAACAAAGAGAGATATGAAACCTTTACTAACCAGCACTAAAACAGCAGCCAAACCTCTCTTTTTCACCGGGATGAGATGGAACTACCTGCACAGGACCATAAACCCTCACATAAAGCTGCCGAGGCCTGGAATCACCAGGACAATAATGTATTTACCCCAGAGGCAGAATTTTCAGTGTACCCCACAGGATAAGCTAGCAAATGTCAAACTAACCCCCCCCAAAAATCTGTTTATTCCAATGTTTTGCTTTTAAACGCCGACAGGACGCTGTGGTGTGACCTTACCTATCCAAGTCATCTTCCCCAACTAAAATAGGGGGGAGCGGAAGCGGAGGCAACGTTGAAGTTTTCAGGTGCGGGATAGCAGCCGTCACAGACACTTGTGTTTTTGTAGCGACTTGGAGAGAGGACTGAGAGTTCACCTGAGAGGATAAAGTAGACGTCCTTGGGTGGGAAGAAGATGGCAAAGACGTCGGGGCTGAAGTGGGGACCTGGAGGGGAGTCGGTTGGGATGGCGGCAAAGGCGGCACGGCAGGCGACGGAGGCAGAGGCGGCAGCGGCGGGGTGGGAGGCGGCGGCGTGGTGGTGGGCAGAGGTGGAGGAGGTGATTTGATTGAGGGGAGTGGGGGGGGAACCTCCTTCTCTGCTGCCTCTGTCTCTTTCGGAGATAGAAGGTCCTCTGCTGCTGCTGCTGCTACAGGCTTCAAGTCTTTTGTTCCCGTCTGTTTTGACTCTCTGACCGGAACAGGGTGTTTCCTCTCAGAGTTCTCCTCTGCCTTGGGTTTTGTTGTCTCTGCAGGGGCTTTAGTCTCTGCGTTGGCGTACAGTAAATTAACTAATTCTGTATCCGAAGACGACTTTTCGGATTTAACAGTTTTGATGACCTTTTTAGATTCCGTTCCAGACTCCTTGAGTTCGGCCAAGCTGTTCTCCTTTCTGGAGAGGAAAACGGGGGAGCCCTTCGCCTCCTTCCCATCCACCTTGGCCGCAGCCGCCGCCGCTGCCGCCCGCTCCTTCTTCTTCCTGCTGAGCTCTGCCCCCAGGCTGGAGTTCAGGGGGAGCCTGGTGGGGGATATACTGGAATGGCGACTGCGTGACCCAGACCTCTGCTTTTTACTGTGAGATGATGAGTGTCTTGAATAGCCAGGACTTCGGCTTCGGGATTTCACAGATTTCCTGCGGAGAGAAAAAGGAGAAGATGAACGAAAGGAAGCATCTCGCGAGCTCTGGGCTACTCACCGACAGGAATGGCTCTCTGGGAAAACAATTCCATCCCCTTATTCGTCAACTAAGTTCAGAGAGTCCATAACACCTGTCTGGAGAGAGAGTAAAGCTACCGAAATGAGTTTATTGACTAAAGCAATACAAGTTTGAGGTCATCATCCAGCCTTCCAGTGCCAGGACAATCATGTTGTTGAGACAGAAAGGAAGGATTAAGACCAAAGAAGCCCCAAAGTAAAGGCAAGATCCCAGATAGAGGCACTGAACAGAAGATTTCAGTCCAGAGGATGAGCTGGGGGTTACAGATCTTTCCCAGTAATTATGTCCAACTTTAAAGGAAACAATGGATAAGATATGACTGCCCTCCTGGGAATGCAGCCTCAGGAAACTCTCACTTTGAGCTGATTTTTCCCCCCAGGTTCATTTACTATCATCAGAACATAAATTTGCATATTATGATTCAGGAAAAAAAAAAAAAAAAAGACCCAGGAATTTTAATTCTGTTTGAGGTATTTTCTGTCCAGAGGGTCTCAGTCGTCTTCTACAATAAATGGGCTCTAAATGAGGTGGATATGCAGAAATAAAAAGCCACACTGAAAAATCTGTGTTGTGAAATAAGCAACGAGGAAGGCAGGAAACACCTCACACCATCAGGGCAGGCACCATCAGGCCAACCCAGTCAGACAGCAGCAGTAACCACAGGCTGAGACTGATGTGGAAACAAGATTAAAAAAAAAATAATAAAATGGAACTGGAAACTGGTACTTCCAGTGTCCGTGTCAAAATTAAGAATGGTTTCCTCCACTTCAGGAGGAGCTGGGATTGCACAGGTGATGAGAGGACACACTTTAATGATGATGGGCTTAGATGCTGCATGAGCCAATAGGAAAATAAGACTATTTGAGATCAGCTCCTATGAATATAATAATAGAAACTATCCCCAAAGTTTATCTTTAACCTGTGATTTATTACCCAGAACATACCTAGTTATGAAAATAGGGGATTCTCTCAAAGCATAGTTCTACACTAGCTAAAAAGAACAGCTAACAGTGAGCAGGTTTAAACACAGGAGATGCTGGCTCGCTTATAACCATAGTCGGGATGCAATTATCATGAGACAACAAACATTTGGAGAATTAACTGGAGAACTGAGACAGAGCAGCATCTCCAAGGCTGCCCACAGCTGTGACACAAGGGGAGGCGAAGGCAAATACAACCCCAAACCTCGTGCTGACAGTGGTCAAAGAACACTACGACTGGAGGTGGTCCTTACCTTTAGACTTACTAAATAAATATACAACCAGAAGGAGGAAAAAAAAAAAGCATCATTTGAAGCCACTCAACTATTTTCCTCTTCGCCACACTGTTCTGTAACGGGAATGCTGCCTCAGGATCCTCTCCTTTTCCAAGCTTTCTGCTTAATGAATGAACACAGTTACCATTTGGATTGCTGTTCACCTGCTGCATCCCAGCACGAAGGTGCCAGAAGCTGAAAAAGCCATTTTGCTGTGGCTCCAAGACATTCCCAGGCTAAGGAGAACATTCCTAATGAATCCTAGAGGAGGTAGTTCACCACAACCACAAGTAGTTTTGGGTTTAGCATTCCCTACTACAATTCTTTCAGGATAGTTTGGTTAAGATGCTGCAATATTCAGTTTTCTGCTCCCCATCTCCCGTCCTTCCCCATGATTCCCACCTCCAGTTATTCCAACTCAACTGGCTGCAGAGCAACACTCTCAACAAGACCACACAGCAGATCTGACAAAGTAAACTTCTCCAGAAGTGCAATTTTTCCTTAATTTTTGAGTGCTACGTTAGAAATGAAGCCAAGGACACCTGCATGGACACAAGGAAGAGAAAGGCAAGGCTGGAGGAAGCGGTGGGGCGCGCAGATGGAGGGGTGCTGTGGAAGGTACCGCAGAGGTGAGGGAAAGGGACAAGTCCATCACCTTCCACCCTCTGCTCCACCAGGACTAAATCCACTTCTCCCCTCCCAGTAGCCTTCTCCACTCCACAGGTGCCACTCATGCTTTTTTTTCTCTCCAGTCATCTAATGATAATTACCTATAGTTATTACACAAAGAGCTGTTGTCTCTAAGCCCATTCTCCAGCTTGGCTTCTTTGTTAGACCTGAAACAGGCTCCGCATCCAGAAGTGTGTCTGCTTTTCCATCAACACAACCTGTTACAGACCACTGCAGCAAACCTTACCTCACATCATTAGACCATCAACGGCCTCAACACCGCCACAGTGCTCACTGAGGGGGGTCTTCCACAGCTCCACTGCCTTTTATCACCCCTGGGTATCCCCAAAAAGATGCAATAATACACAAGCCACACAGGAAGATTTTGTTTTTTAAAGATACTCTTTCCATCCTACAGAATGATCATTTCAAGGCTTTACCTGCAGCCTTTAGTCAGCACTTTTACCCCTTTCACCCTTAACTTTGCAGCTTACTCACTGTGCTAAGATCACCAGGGATGGGTGGGGGCAATTCAGTCTCACACCCAGTTCTTTTTCTGGATAAAAATGCTCTGGGGTTAAAAACCACCTTGTTGTCTCTCTAGCACTGGAAACTAGAAATACAAGATATTAACCACGACAACTGTGAATTAACATAAAGAAGTCAGAGATGATGGCTCATGTAAAAATCCAAATTAAAAAAGTATTATTAGATTAATTTCACTGATATAATCAGAAGATGAGAATGGTCTTTGGAGGAGGGAATGCCAGAACCCTCCAGAGCTCCTCACGCTGGAAACCACCACAGCTAATAGCTGCTGGCAGAGGTGACCCCGAAGCAGTTGGCAGAACAACAAAGCCCCACATCTCCATACTCCCATGTTATCCACTATGGAAACTCCTAGGAACATCTCCAGACACTAAAACATTCCACCTGCTCCAAGCCACAACAGAAGTGTGAAGAGTAAAGCACAAACTAGTATCTGGGAAGCCTGACCGCACAACCCCGTGCTCTAATTGCTCAGGAAACAAGCTCAAACAACGGGCCAGCCTTTCTGATTTCTGGAACTCCCCACGACCTTCTGCTGTGGTGAGGATCCGTGTAAGAGTGGCCACCACGACAGCACGTGCACACACTCGCGCTGCGCCGCTATACTTAGCACAGAGAGCATCCCACCTCCAGGAATTTCTTCTTCTAGTTTTAGCTGCAACAACAACAGTTGTGACGAGGAAGGGCAAACCCACATCTGCTGTTTTTCCCTACTGACCAGATCATCCTCGTTTCCTCCTAAGTCGAAAAGCAAGTTGTTTTGCACAGTCATTTGACATGCAAACACTCTGCATTTTCTCCAATCGGCACAGCACATTGATTCAGCTCCCTAACACCACATTTTGGATGTGGAGATTAAAGAAAACACAGAACACACACACAAAAAAAACCCCCACTATACTGTCAGGCAGTGGAAATAATTCAGTGTCCCAGAAAAAAGCCTGTGTTACCTCCTCTGAAGAATTTAAGCCACAGTCAGATGTTGGCTGCGTAAGTGAGTGTGCCAGATAAAGATGTTTTCTCTCCCAGATTGTTCCTGCCCCTCCACAGGAGCCAGGAGAAGAGATCAGGCAGTCACTCTGGTGTGAAGTCACTTTGGTGTGAAGTCACCTGCCTCCATCTGCAGCAGATCAGCCCCAGCTGGGGAGGGAGGCTCAGCCCGTCCACTCCTCCAGGTGAGGTCCTGAAGAGCCATCAGCAGAGGGGCAGCCCCACCTTTGGCTTCTGGAAGAGAGGTTTGGCCATAATCTCACACCAGCTGCCCCCCCTGCACAGGCTGAAGGCTCAGGGAAGCAAAACCAACAATGAATTATAACTTACAATTTGGCTAACGTGGGTAACGCATTAATTTCCCTCTGTCCCTTTACTAGAATCACTTCAGGCAGATGTTTTCTGAAGGTGTAATCCATATTTTTTGCTCTGCTTTAAAAGAATATATCAGACAGTAAGTTCTGCCCAGAAAAGGGAGAAGAGTAGCAGGTTATCAAAGTCAGGGATTCAAAGAATTCAGTACAAGCTGAGCATAAACAGTAAGTAACCTTTGGAATCTCTTCTGGTTCGGGGTCCAGCGAGTCAAAGATGCCCTTAAAAAGTTTCTCAGGTGGATACATAAGGTCAGGGAAGCAGCACAGACTGCTTCAAAGTTGCTCCCATAATTGAGATTGGGAAAAGATAACTGCTTGATTTCTCAAGTCAGAAGCAACCAGTCATTTACTGAAAGAGTAAGGTTCAGGTTCACCTGGGAAGTGGAGTAACCTGGTGGGGGGAAATCACATCTTTGAGTACAACTCCAGTTTCCACATGGTTTCTCCCTGGTTAGGGCTGGACACGGACATTTAACAGGTGCCACAATAGACAATTATAACATGAAGCACACAAATGTTTGCTACTATTGCATTCTTACTCCTCCAAAAGTATTAGCAAATCACATGTAAGAGCAGTGCCACCAGGGCAAAAAGGATTGAGGGGAGAGAGAAGAAAAACATTGAGGACTATCCCTCCAAGCCTCTTGGGTGTATGTAGGGGAAACAGGGCAGAGGAGAAACAGCCTGAAGGAAATTTTCCCTACATAAAAATACAGCAGAGTAAGGACATTTTTACAAAACAGCTACCAGGATGCTAAAACCAATGCACCTCTCACAGCAAGGAGAAAGGCCCTATTTTGAGCCCACTAGAGAAGACAGTATTCCTGAAGTTAAGAGAAGAGCTCTAGCAACAAAAGCTGAATTCCAAAAGCCCCGAGTTCTTTGGGAACTGCTGATGGCATAAGTGTGCTCCAGAGGCTGCCTCTTCACTGGTGGCTCCTGTTTGGTCCAGAGGATGCAGTACAGCCACCACAGAGCAGAGCATTTCTATAGCCATTACACTCCAGGTCACATCTTAATCGCCATGGAGCTCCAACCAAAGCTCCACAGCACCCATGGTGACAACTGGAAACTCACTTAACATAAACTGAAGGAAAAAAAAAAAAAAAAATCAACATTAGACTATGTATTCAGGTATATAACAGGATGATTAACCAACACCTGAAATAAAACACACAGGACTACCTTCAAATAATAGTTTCCTTCTGTAGGAAGGTTACTGACTAAAGGAAAAAAAAATAAATGAGAAAATTATAGTTAATCCAAAGTACAGCTGGTTCCTACTCGCCCTTCCAGAATGTCCCCGTTTCAGAATGGAAGCAAGAAACTCTAGGACTGAGAAAAGAAAGTTTAGGCCAGAAAGATGGAGTTTACACGTGGTCATCTCTAATTCAAGGGAAGAGAAAAGACAAGTCAGTTCAGAAAGAGCACAATCCACTCAGAGCAAGCCACCCTCCTGAAGCGTGATCAATTTTCCCCACGTAGTAAACACATAAAGGCTTCCAGAAAAAGGTGAAAACACTCTCCCTGGCTGAGCTTCTTGTCAGGAAAGAGCAGAAGATGCTGCATCAGGAGCTGAAGGGCTCTGTCTGCCTTCAGAGCACAACCCTCCCCAGGAGCCCAGGCCCTTCTGCGGGGGCCACCTCCAGAGGTGGGTGTAATTTAATCCCAGGAGCTCATTCAGCCCAAGGCCTCTCCGCTGAGAGCCAACATGGAGGCTGCCTCCCGCCAGCCAGGGAGGTGCTCTCCAAAGCAGGAACACCACTTTAGAGAGAATTGCCCCCAACCCAACCAAAAGCAATTCCCCACAAACCACCCCGCAGCCAAATTAGGCAGACGGTGACCCCCCCACCAAACTGAGGAAGGGGGTTTAGCCCTCCCTTCCCATGCCCAGACCCTCCCCAGACCCTTCCCCATTCCCTAGGGAATGGAAGGCCAGGAGGAGAACACGCACCTGGCGATGGGGCTTCGGCTCACGGAGCGTTTTGCGGCGAAAGGGCTGCTCGAGCGCCGTCGGCCGTAGGGGCTGGGTGACCTCCCACTGTAGGACCCGCTGCCTCTCTCGTAGCTGGAGGAACGTCTCCTGTTATAGGGGCTGATGGACCTCTGCCTCCGGCTGTAAGGGCTGGGAGAGCGGGTGTTGGACTGGTAGGCCACGGGCTCCTTGTAGGGTGGGCTGATGGACTGGCGGCGCGAGGAACCTCCGGGGCTCTTCCTGTAGGGATCGTAGTTACTGGAGGTGTGGGAGCGGGGAGGGCTGAGATCATACTCCTGGATGTAGGAAGCTCCTGAGGGGCTGTCGTCCAATTTAGGGCTGTCGGACCATTTTCGGTGAGGGCTTCTGGATTTCCGCTTGGGGCTGTCAAGCGTTTTGTAACTTTTGGGAGCATCCCTTTTCCGATGGCTTTTACTGCGCTCTTTGTGGCTGGATTTGAGCTCCCGATCCTTCCTGGACTTCTCCTTGTGCGCTTTGGCTGACCGGGATTCCTTGTTGCTACTCTTTGAGGACAGTGACTTTGGGCGCTCCTCGCTTTCAAGGAGTCTCTTGGAGGATCCCGATATTCTCTCCTTGGTGGACCCGGACCTGCTGGATGCTTCCAGGCTCTTTTCTAATTTCCTCTCTTTTTCTGCCTGTTTGCTCTTCATCAGCTCACGAATGCGTTTGTGCTGGTGGTGCCGGTGTTTCTGTATCCTCTCGCTCCTGTCCGCTTTCCTTTCCTCGTTCTCCCTCCTGTCCAGCTTGAGGGTACCCACATCATCCGAGAAGGTATCCGAATCCGAACTGATGTCATCGTACTCCACCAGCGGCTTGATCATCGCGCCCAAGGGTGCCGCCGTCTCCTGGGCTGCCAGTGGTGACTCCTTAGAGTGCCTGGACTTATGCCTCTTGTGCCTGGAGGCCAGCCGGTGCCTCTCCTTGCTGTTCGAGCTCCCGCTGCCAGGCGTGTGCTGCGAGGACCCCCCGCCGCCCCCATCCTTCTTGCCCCCATGTCTCTCCGGATTTGGCATTCCTCCTCCACTGTGCTCGAGAGAGGGGAGGCGGGGGGGAAATCCTCCAAAACCCCCAAAACTTCAAACTTCCTCAGCGCCCGCTCCTGGCACCATCCACCCCGGCCTCAGCCCTCCTCCCTGCCGCCGAACACCCCCTCCTACATGGGGAGCGGGGCGGGGGAGCGCGGCCCGGCCAGGCCCCGGAGGAGGCGGAAGGGGGTGTGAGGGGGCCAGGAACCGGCAGAGGGAAGGGCAACCGGCCTCACCGCCTCATCCGAGGGGCCCAGGCCTAGAGGGGCAGCGCCGCGGCCGGGGAGGGCACCCCGGGAAGGCGAGGCCTGGGCCCGCGATCCTTCCCTCACCCCCCCTCAGCACCGGGGGCGCCCGGGCCCCGCGGGCCGCCGCGCGGCTCTCTCAGCCCAAAGGGCCGGCGGGGGAACGGTCGCCGCCCGCGTCTCCTCCCTTCCTTCCCCCCTCCCAGCCCCTCCTGCCCGGTTCGGCCCGGCCCGGCCCGGCCCGCCGCTCTCCCCGCCGCTCTCTCCCCGCTCACTTCCCAAAGCGAAACGGCTCCGCGTCCAAGGGGGGCACCCGCCAACTCTCGCGAGAACCCGCAGCCACCTCTCGCGAGAAGAGGAGAGGAGGAGCAGCAGCGGTAGCCGCCGGCTGATCCCGCGAGACTTGGCAGAGGAAATGAGACGGGGTGTGGGGAGGGTGAAGGGAGGGGGCGCTCTCCTCTTCTCGCGAGAACTGTCCCCGAGTGGAACTTCATTGGGCGCCGCACGCCCCGCCCACCCTCCCCGCGCGCGCGCGGGGGAGGAATGGCGGCCGCCGCCGCCGTGTGAGGCCGGCGCCGAGCGGCCCGGCCGCTGCTCCTTTCCCCCTCCGCTCCCGGCCCGACGCGAGGCCGCGGCCCGAAACGGGTCGCCCGCCTCGTCCCCCCCCGCCCCGCAACATGAAGGCGGCGCCGGGCGGTGCCGAGGGTGAGTGCCGCCGGAGGGGCGCGGCCGGTGCTGTGAGGAGATTTTGGGGTGGAGGGCGGGGGGGCGATGTGTGTGAAGCACAGTGTCGGGCTGAGGGATTTTTCCCGCTGGAAGGGCGAGAATCCCGCACGGGCCTCTGGGTCTCGGTGCTGGCTGCGGGGCGGTTCCGTTTTTAAAGGAAATAAAGGCGAATATCCTCGTTGGGGCGCTCCCCTGGCTGAGATCTGAGAGAACTCTCCCTCTCCCGGGGGCTTCATGGGGTCTTGGCGATGTTCATAAACACCTGGAGGGAGGGTGTGGGGCAGAGGGAGCCCGGCTCCTCTCAGGGGGAGGCAGAGGCCATGGGCACAAGCGAGAAGGCAGGAGCCTCCACCGGAGCCCCAGGAAACACTTTGTCACTGTGTCCAGAGAGGTGATGGCATCTCCATCCTTGGAGAGCTTTAAATGCCAGGACATGGCTCTGGACACCCTGTTGTAGGTGGCCCTTCTTAGGCAGGGGCTTGGACCAGGAGAGCCCTGCCAGCCTCAGCCCTTCTGTGATTCTGCCGTAGCTGAGAGGTATGAAGTGTCTGAAAACACGTAGCAAAGATCTATTTATTCCTTGTGCTTGGATTTGATGGGGTCAGCATTAGGTCTTTAAGCAGTAGATGCATCAACGATGAAAACAAACCCTTGAAATTTCGCAGACGAGGTGCTTCCAGGGCTGTGTGCTGCGGCGGTTAAGATCTCATAGACATGTGTTTGCCCAGGACCTTCTGCCAGAGACAGGGTTTGTTTTGGCAGTGATGTCTGCTGGGGTTTTTTGACAGATGCAAGGCTAGGAAAAGCTGTCTCTTAGCAAAAATAAAAAAAAAACACACCAAAATTATAATACTCTTGAAACCTCCATTCTTTTTGCGCCTCTGTCCGACCAGAGAGTAGGGGAAAAATGAACCATGAATGAATCATCTGTGAAGATCTTTATTAGACAAGAAGTTGCAGAGTTGGAAGAGAGAGCAGGGGAATCCAGGAAACAAAGCTTTACCTCATTTCTTTAACACAATGTTTTCTATACTCTCTGTTTCCTGTCCAAGGGAAACTCCATCTTTTGACCGTAGAGTTGCATCTTCAAACAGTGCCCCGATATGTTCCTGCTGTGCCAGAACTTAACCTGATGGGGCCACATCATTTGGAGTCTGGGCAGAATAGGAGCTGGGCTTTTCCCAACAGGCCCGTAGGCATTTTATGGTCCTTTACATTTTGATAACTTGTGGCACATCCTTAGCATTTGCTTAACCTTAAGGTTTAGGTTGTAGCAATAAATCAGCAGTAAGTAACTTTTTTGAAATCGTGGTTAGCTTAAAGGTAGCAAGTATTTTTGTTACAACTGCCAAACTTTTTTATTTATAAAACTTGAGATGTTGTCTCGTTCCCTTTTCTGAATCTTCCCCTGTCTTACAGAAACGGAGAAGCTGAATAAGATGAGTACCCTCTTAGAAAGACTTCATGCAAAGTACAACCAAAACAGGCCTTGGACAGAAACCATGAAGCTGGTCCGTCAAGTCATGGTGAGAATTGTTGGGGTCTCAGCGGGAGGGATTCTCAAGTTTCTTTAGTGATGATTTTGTTGTCGGTTTGTTAGATCTCTTCAAAGTCCTTTGTGTTTTGTTCAAGCCTGCACTGGTGTGGTTCAGGTAGTTCCTCATCCACAGTGTGTGGTTCAGGGAGTGATGTCCATACCCTTTCTGCGTGGCATGTCTTTCCCTTCATTAATTACAGCCTCCCCCTCTACAGCCTAATTGCCAGGGGGCAGCTGTCAGTTCAGTACCAGGAAAAGGGTCAAACTTGTGCTTTCAGCCGGTGCTGAGAAGCCCAAACCATTCTGTCACTTTGCTGTTTCAGGATGTTGTGTTTTGTAACACAATTTGCTCCCCATTTAGTGATATTCAAATCTCGGTGTTGGCTGAGTTTGAAATATTGGTCTCTGGGTAGAGGGAGGGAGGAGCAGGGGACAAGAGGGAACTGCCTCAAAACTGCCTCCTCCATATATTGTGGTGTTAAAAATTAGCCTGTCTTGTTATTTCTTTGTGGTCTCTCGTATAATTCTTAGTTTATAGCTATTAAAAATGCTACAGTGTGTTCTTCCAGATGAACAAGGTGCTTAAAAGAAAATAAATCAATTCCAGGCCTGCCTTTGTTAACAGTTTCCCACATGGATACTGTTCTCCTGCAGGAGTCAAAATGAGGATGTAATTTTGGGATGAAATCTAATGTGCTTTTAATTACCTAAATAAACCTCCCTTGACTGAGCAAAAGTTGTGATGATTCCCCTCTTACTGAGCGATACACAAAAAGGGCGTTTTTCTTCTTTCTGACTAAGGAAAAGCGAATTGTGATGAACTCTGGGGGGCACCAACATCTGGTGAGCTGTTTGGAGACTTTGCAGAAGGCATTAAAAGGTTGGTACGTCCCTGCGCATGCACTTCGCGAACCGCTTTCAACAGTGATGTGCTACGGAGAGACTCCAAAGAGCTAAAACCCAGCGAGGTTGTTGGTAGCTCATTTCACTGTGTTCCCAGTGCATGTGTGCTCACCTTTGCAGAAGTGCCCTTCTCTGGCATTGCCTGTGTGAATTTTGTTGTTAAATTTTTCGGTGTTGTTGAGTGAATTCGCTCAGCCATTGCCTGTGTGAATTTTGGTGTTAAATGCCCACACCTGACTTCAGCTTGCGGAGGAAAATCCCTTCTCTCTTTGCAGTTCTGAGCACCTTTTGGTTTTCCCTCTGCAAGTTGTTCTGCCCGTGTTTTGAGATGATGTATCTTGGTGTGAAGGTGGGAGCAGATGTGGGAGGGAATAACTGCTTGAGGTGGCTTTTAATGCTTTTATTCCTGGGGAGATGTTGAAATGCTTCCCTAAAGCTGTGCTTTTTGCTCTCTCTTTCTAGTCTCGTCTCTGCCTGCCATGACAGACCGCTTGGAGTCCATAGCCAGACAGAATGGGTAGGTCTCCTCCTTTATTTCATGACAAAGGCTTTTCCCGTTTATCCGTACGCATCGTAACCTCCCTGCTGGGTCAGTTGGGGTTTTTTTTGTGTGTGCATCTCATAGCAATTTTTGTTTTGTTTTGTATGTAAGCCTTGGATCTCACCTTAGTGCGAATGGCACTGAATGTTACATCACTTCAGACATGTTCTATGTGGAAGTCCAGTTAGATCCTACAGGGCTGCTGTGTGATGTCAAGGTGGCTCACCATGGAGAGAACCCCGTGGTACGTATCGCTGACCAAGCTGAGGGTAATGACTTGGTGCTTTTGGAACTGCCATTTTTGGCTCTCTGTTTGAGTAGAGGAAATGGATTGTATTTTATGTCCTGCTAGATCTAGAAATACCTTTGCTGCTTGTTCCCAAAGTGAAATAGCCTCCATGGAGT